AAACTGAAGATCAGAAAACCAAAGATGTCAGTTACTAGCTCTTACCTCTACCCCAGGCTGAAATGGAGCTCCTGTCTTCTCTGACTGGAAACTAAATCTCTTCCTGTCCTCAGAGTGGCTGGAGACTAATTGCCTCATGAGACCAGTTGGTTCTTCCTTTTATACCTTCAAATTCTGGAATTTAAGGCATGGTATCGTAAGTGCTGAGATCTCCTTTGTATGAGTTGTTTCTCTTTTAGACTGGATCAGTTTTGTGTAGCCCAGCATGGCCTTGAACTAACAGAAATCTGTCTGCTTCTATCTCCAAAATCCTGGGATTAAGGGTGTGCAATCACCACTGCCTGGCTCTGTGGCTTGTAGCTAACTTTGCTGTCTGTACCCTCAGGCAAGCCTTAATAAATCATAAATAATATATCTCATAGGCTGCATCTTACTAGCCCACAAACTTCATTTAAAAACTGGGAATGGAGCACAATGGTGGTAGTGGTGCATGCCTTTAATGTCAACAGTCAGGAGTCAGAGTCAGGTGTATTATCTGAGTTTGAGGCCAGCCTGGTCTACAGAGTGAGGTCTCCAAAATTCAAAAATCCAAAATTAAAAAAGTCAGAGCCAGGTGGCACACACCTTTAATCCCAGCACTCTGTGAGTTTGAGACCAGCCTGTTCTACCGAGCGAGTTCCATGACAGGCTCCAAAACAATACAGAGAAACCCTTTCTCTCTCATTTTCCTCAACAGTGAGGTCATTTATATTTTAGTGTCTACCTGACAAAGTTGTTGTGAGGTCAAATGAGACCAAAGAAGTCACTGATAAATGGTGCCTGTCCTTGTTACTTCCTTGTCCCTTCTAAACCTGCCAATGGCCAACCAGAGTCTAGAGGTCCCGGAGGGTAACCCTACCACTGCAGGTGATCTCATTCCCAGAGCAGGCATGCAAGTAGGGGCTGTAGTAGGGTTTGTCTTTGAAGAATGTGCATCTTTCCAGCTCCATGACCTGACCATAGCAGTGCTCCTGAGTCCGGCAGCACCTGGAGAGAGGAAGGAACAGCTGAGGGAGGAGCATGGACACACAGGGGGTCAGTTCTCACTTGCACTCATTCTCAAAACATGTCTGAATGATCTAAACACAATGTTCCAGAAGACATTGTCCTGAAGCCTGAGAATCTCTGGTATCTATTAAGCCTATATTTATTGAGAGCAACTTCTGTGGAGTGTAGTGCTGTCTTCCCTTATTCCCAGTACTTGGAAGGCAGAGGCAGTTATATTTCTGAGTTTGAGATCAGCCAGAGATAGGTAAGTGAGACCCTGTCTGAAAAAAGTTTTGTTTTAACAAAGTTGCATGAATATACTGAAATTATATATTCTGAAGTTTCAATGACTTCTTTAAATAACTTAAAATTAGTTTTAAAAATTAAAAACAATCTTATTTTACATACCAATCCCAATTTCCTCTCCCTCCCATTCTCCCATGCCCCCATCCCCCATCCTACCCCTATCCATGGGGGATCATCAAAGTATGTCACATACAAAGTCTGCCCATTCTCTATGGAGGGATACTCTCTCAGCCTAGATACCCTGGAGAGGACCTAGGTTCTTCCCCAAATAATGTGGCTAGTATATCCAGCAAAATTTTCAATCACTATAGATGGAGAAAACAAGATATTCCATGACGAAACCAGATTTAAACAATACATATCCACAAATCCATCCCTATAGAAAGTACTGGAAGGAAAACTCCAACCCAAGGAAGTTAGCTATACTCACAAAAACATAGACAACAGACAATCCTACATTACCAAAAGCCAAAACCAGGGAAACACACATACAGTACCACCACCACCACCAAATCCAAAACTAACAAGAATCAACAATCAAGGGTCATTAATATCCCTTAATATCAATGGTCTTAATTCACCTATAAAAAGACATAGTATAACAGAATGGATACGAAGACAGAATCCATCTTTCTGTTGGATACAAGAAACACAGCTCAACTTCAAAGATATTACCTCAGAGTAAAGGATTGGGAAAAGATTTTCGAATCAAATGGCCCTAAGAAACAAACTGGTATAGCTATCCTAATATCTAACACATTTAGACTTCTAACTAAAATTATTCAAAAGGGATGAAGAAGGTCATTTCATTCTCATCACAGGAAAAATCCATCAAGATTAAGTCTCAATTCTGAACATCTATGCCCCAAATACAAAGGTACCCACATTCATAAAAGAAACATTATTAAAATTCAAATCACACATAAAACCCTACACACTTACAGTGGGAGACTTCAACACCCTACCCTCACCACTGGACAGTACTACCAGAAAGAAACTTAACAAAGAAATAAAGGAACTAACAGAAGCTATGACTCATTTGGGTTTAACAGACATCTATAGAATATTCCATTTAAACACAAAAGAATATACCTTCTTCTCAGCACCTCATGGAACCGTCTCTAATATTGACCACATACTTGGCAACAAAGCAAACCTCAACAGATTAGAAAAGAAATGGGAATAACCCCCTGTATCTTATCAGACCACCATGGCCTAAAGGTAGAATTCAACAATAATTGCAGAAAGCTCACAAACTCATGGAAATTGAACAATGCTTAACTGAACCACTACTGGGTCAAGGAAGAAATGAAGAAAGAAATTAAAGACTTCCTAAAATTCAATGAAAATGAAGGCAGAATATACTCAAACTTATGGGACTCTTTGAGAGCAGTGCTAAGAGGAAAGTTCATAGTACTAAGTGCCCACATGAAGAAACTGGAGATTAGTCACACTAGAGAAGTATAAGCACAGCTGAAAGCTCTAGAACAAAAAGAAGCACACTCAACCTGGAGGAGTAGATGCCAGGAAATAATCAAATTGATGGCTGAAATCAATAAAGTAGAAACAGAAAACAACACAAAGAATCAATGAAGCAAAGAGTCGTTTCTTCAACAAAATCAACAAGACAGAGAAACCTTTATCCAAACTAACCAAAAGGCAGAGGGATAGCATGCTAATCAACAAAATAAAAAATGAAAAAGGGAGACATAACAATGGACACTGAGGAAATCCAGAGAATCACCAGGTCATACTTTGAAAACTTGTACTCAATGACTTTTCAAAGCTAAAGCTGACATTTTGTTGGTGGCTGTGATGGTTGGCCGTGCCCTAGTCTGGTGCCTGGGGACAGCATGGTCCACTATTCACATCTCACATATTCTGCTTTCCTGGACCACTAGATACAGGGTCCTCTCTGATCAATGTCTTTACAGGACAAGTGGGGAAAATAATGCTGGGTGGTGATGTACAATTTTAATCTCAGCACTCAGAAGGCAGAGGCTGGAAGATATCTGGGTTTAAGGCCAACAAGGTCTCTAGAGAGAGTTCCAGGAAAAATAGGGCTACACAGAGAGCCCCTGTCTGGAAACAGAAACAAACAAAAATGAATAATAAATGAACTAGGCAAAGCATGGTGTTTGGTGACTGTGCCTGTCTCCTACTAATGTCACATGAGATGCTCTGCTGGTGTCCTGTCCCCTCCTCAACCCAGACACTCCCATCTCTCACCAGATGGATCACTCACCAGTCTAAGATTTCCAGTCGGCTGGTCCAGATGATGTAGCCAAAATAGAAGCCATAGTAGTTGAAGTCTGAGAAAGTTTGAATGAAAGGGAAGGTGTGCTTTAAGCATTGTCAAATTGCCACACAGGCTGAAGGCTGTAGCACCTGCTGCAAGAATGCACAACACATTCCATCAATCCCATTTGGGTTTCCCAGGGGTCAAATGCCTGCTAGCAGCTGCTGCATGGGAAGAACAGAGAGAGAAAGAGATATAGATAGATAGATAGATAGATAGATAGAGCTTGCTTGCCCAAACACAGGTTGAAAGCACATACTTGTTAGCACTCATAAATGTCATGCAACACTCTTTAGAGAGTTTTTAGGTAATTTGTTTTGCTTCCACTTTGTAGGTTTTGGAGACCAAACCCAAGGTACTAGGCCTTAGCAGGAAGGTATTTACCTATTTGAGACAGCAAGTTGTCCTGTAACCCAGGGTAGCCTCATAATTTGTAACAACTCTCAAGTCTCGGCCTTCCACGAGGTAGGCCTGTAAATGAGCATTATTCTGTGGTACTTGGATGTCTGTCTGAGATTAAGTTCTATAGACACTGTTTTTTTCCTTGCTTACCTTCTCATTTCTCACTGTCAGGACAGACAGCTGCCACACTGTGAGCTGCCCTTTGTCCCTGTAGTGGGGTTCTGAGAACACTCTCCAGTCAGCATCCAGGGATAGACTGACCTCTTAGTTCAATTACCCAACAACCCAACTGTCTCTTGAGTGAGAAAGCTGCTCCACTCCCACTCAAGCCTAGGTGAAACCCTAGCCTTAGTCAGCAGCAGGACTCATCACAGTTCTATCTGAGACCTTGAGCCAGAGAAGCAGTCAACACATGCTTATTGTTTTACACTGGGAGAATTAGAAAGAATCTGTTGTATGGTCATACAAGGCTCATGTACAAGGCTAATGGTCAGATCATCATGGGTAATATCTATTTGACATAACAAACTGTTCATCAGCTGAGGAGTAGGTAAATAAGCCAAGATTCAGTCTGCCATGTTATATATACCTGGTTGCTATAAAGTGAAGGAGAAGCCAGGTACAATGGATCACACAGCACTCTGGAAGCAGAACAGGCAGATGTCTGAGTTGAAAGTCAGCCTGGTCTATAGAGTGAGTTCTAAGAAGACATAGCTTTGAGAAAAAACACTTTTTTTGTAAAACCGGGGGAAAAAATGGAGACACAAGAGATGCATGTGTGTAATCTGAACATTTGGGGGGTTGAGGCAGGAAGGTTTCAACTCTGGGCTATAATTTGACTTGAAGGACATCCAGAGCAACATAGTAAGGTCATATAAAGTAATGATAATTGTCGGTAGAGACCTAGGCACCTGTGCCACTGACCACGCCTATTTTGGGCGTGGCTACAGGTGCATATAGGCGTGGAATAAAGTGCTGAGGAGAAAACTGGCCCTCTCTTGGCGTTCTGGTCGGGTCTCGCAGAGCAGCAGAGACCATCAGAGCACTGACCTTCGGTTTTCATGTAAGTGATTTCTCCCTAATAAAAATAACATACCACATCCCTATCCCATGTATGCTAATCTTCCTCTATATCTGGTGTGTTAGAAGTGGGACATCCACGGGACTTGGGGAAATAAGTTCACCCAGCCCCACACAATTGAGCCTGGTGAGATAAGCACTCACTGCTGCAGTCATTGACGGCTCCAACGCCACGCCCTAGAGGCGCTGAGTCCCTGCTCCCCTCTAGCGTGTCCGACTCCCCGCTTCCGACTCACGGCTGAGTAACTGCCGGCTCCTGCATTGCCTTTCCCAATGCTCCTGGAGTCCCTCCTGAGTTGCTGGGGGTGGTTTTCCCAACTCAGTCAGGTTCTCCTGTTCTGGCGTGGGTCAGCCCTGCTCTACCTTGTTTTCCCGCCATTCCTTGTTCCCAGTACCACCCACAGCTGCAGCTCTTTCCTCCTCGCAGGTCCCCACGATTTGTGCGGGGTTCTTTTCCCTCCCTTTAAACAAAATCCTGCTGACTAAATTTCTGTAAAAGCTATTCAGACTTTTTCAGATTCTACTTGGGATAGAATGATTGATCATCTGTGATGGAACGGTGTTTGGCGGTGCACCTGCGCCACCTGCCGGCTAAACATAGTTACTGCAAGTAAAAATCCACACCTCAGCCTGAGACTAGAAAATCGCTGAAGGTAAGCATTGCATTCCTGTAGTTTAAGCTACTCTATACCAATGGCAGATAATCTTAGGATGCAGAACGATAGGGATCTTTTTGCTTCTTGTATGAATGACATCCTGGAAGAGGATTATAACCTGCCCCAAATATTTTTATATCTAATGCTAATGATTAACTTCATAATCCATATAATATCTTGGAAGAGAGGGCTTTATAATAGAGAAAAGGACAAGGAATTTGTGCAAACTATTGATACATTAGAGAGATTTGTGCAAACTATTGATACATTAGAGAGATAGATTCAGAATATTCAAAATGCTAACCAAGACCTGACAAACATGACGTAAACTATAGAACATAACATTGAATTACTTTCAGGAAAAATGTGCTCCATATCTACATAACATAACATCGAATTACTTTCAGGAAACATGTGTACCGTATCTACTGACTTAACAGACAGAATAGGAAAATTGGAACATCATGTTGAAATACTTAATCAAGAAACCTGTTCTGTGTCTCATGATTTCACTAATGAAATACAAAGACTGGAACACAAGATTGAAATACTGACAGAAAGGATTTGTTCCATGTTTGAGAATAATGACAAGCTAGCAGAGAGAACATTGTGTCTGTAAGGCAGTTTACATGTCATTCGGATAATTTCTAAGGATGAGAATATTAAATGCTTGGAATTGTGTATAAATGGTGAATCTGAAAAAGTGACCGATTTTATGAAGTCCTTATAAATTTACTTGACCTAAGATGTTCACACACTCAGAGAAACAATGGTGAGTAGATTACAGGCCTTAGAAGACCTTCAATCTGATACATCAGAATCAGAGATACAAGCAACAGGTCATGAAGGAGGTTTACCTACACCTCTCAGACGCTGGGAAGACCTTCCTAAGGTTGTTATGCCCTCTCCTATGGTTTTACCAGTATCTATGACTGGAAAACCAGCAAGGAAAAACCCAAATGTCTTCATCGCATATCAGCGGGAGCCAATACAGCTAAAGGATTTAAAGGGAATCAAGGAGGCTGTTGTTTCTTATGGTATACATTCACCCTATGTTAGAGAGTTACTGAACTCATGGGCAAGCACAAATAGGGTGACCCCTAAGGATTGGAGCCATCTAATATTGGCGGTGCTTGCAAATTTGTCTCAAATACAATGGAGGGCTTTACGGAGGGAAGAAGAAAAAGCCCTTGAGCTTTAAGGCTTAAAGAAAGATTATGAAGCTCCCCAAGATAAGATTCTTGGTGAGGGTCTTTATGTTGACTCACAGACTCAGGCTGCATAAGATAAACACATCTTGTATCTATGCCATACAGCAGCCTTTAATGCTTGGGATAAGGTTCATGAACCAGGAGACAGAATAGAACCCTATACCAAAGTGGTACAGAGACCAAGAGAACAGTTCACTGAATTCTTACAAAGATTGTCCAGAGCAGCAGAATCACAGGTAATTGATTCAGAATCTAGGAGAATACTCATAGAATCTCTAGCTCATGAGAATGTGAATCCACAATGCAAACAGGTACTTTGGCCATTAAAGATCAGATGAACGCCATTGGAGAAATGGTTTCTGTATACAGCTAACCTTGAGTATAAGGATCATGACACAGAAACTCGGGTAGGAGAAGCCATCTCGAAAGATTTGAAGAGACACCAAGATGCCAGATGCCTTAACTGTGGTGATACAGAAGCTTATGTGGGAGAAGCAATCTCCAGAGGTTTAAAAAGACATCGAAATATGAGATGTTTTAACTGGTAGCACAGGACATCTAAGAAGAAATTGTAGGCAAAGCATTCCTAGAAATAGTGCACCTCCTAGGAATGACTCAAACAGAAGGCCTCAGACTTCTGGATTATATAGAAGATGTGGCAAAGGCCAACTGGACAAATGAATGTGGGTCGACCAGAGACAGACAAAGTAACCCTTTATAATTGGTAAACTCTTTGGAGGGCCTCTCGAAGGCATCCATGTCAAAAGTGGTGCAGTCATTCCCAGTTACTGTGGAGGACAATCTTTCCCAGAACGATTTGGAGATCCCCTTCCTATTGCAAAGAATAATACCACTCTGGATGATAGATTAACTACTGAGGATGAATCAAATGTAACTGGAGGAAAAATAACTTATATTTTGATAAACTTCTATACAGGATTAGAGACCTAAACTAGAATTTAAGGTGAATAACTAGGTGATTGTCGACCTTTGGGACACTGGTGCTGATGTAACCATCATAACACAAGAATCTTGGTCTCCAAAATGGCCCCTTCAAAAGATGAACATTCGATTCTTAGGGATTGGAACCCTGTCTCAAGTGAAACATAGCATGGAATGGTTTGAGTGTATAGAGCCAAAAGGACAAAGAGAAAGACTGAGGCCATATGTGGCAGATATTGTTATAAATCTCTAGGGTCATGATCTATTACAGCAATGGAACACACAGATTAACATTCCTCCTGTATCAGATATGAATAATAAACAAGCTTTTGGTGGTAAAAAATATTGTAAGGCACTACAGAAAACAGATGCCAACCATCCAGGCTGTACATAAACAAAATACGAGTGCCAAGCCTACAGAGGAACCAAAAACCCTACCCTTAAAATGGCTAACATGAACCTGTCTATGTAGGGCAATGGTCTATGACCTCTGAGAAGCTAGAGGCTTTAGAAAAGTTCAGGAACAGTTAAATGCTGGACATATTGAAGAATCTCCCAATCGGTGGAACTCCCCTATATTTGTTATAAAAAAGAAATCTGGTAAATGGAGAATGTTTTCAGACCTGAGAGCCATAAATAAAGTAATTCAACCTATGGGCTCTCATTGTCTTCTCTGATACCTAAAGGATGGCCAATTATAGTCAGTGATATAAAAGATTGCTTCTTCACTATTCCTTTACAAGAAAAAGATAGGGAAAAATTTGCCTTCACGGTGCCTACCTATAACAATTCTCAGCCAGTTAGAAGATACCATTAGGAACTTTTGCCCCAGGAATTGTTAAATAGTCCTACCCTATGCCAATATTTTGTGTAAAAATCTTTGGAAATAATTCACAAACAATTTCCACAATCCATAATTTACCATTATATGGAAATATATAGTTGGCTGATTCGAAGGAAGGAATGTTTGAAAGGATGTTTGAGGTAATAGAGGAACTTTTACCTCTCTGGGGATTACAGATTGCTCGTGAAAAAATACCAAGAGGAGATTCTATTATTTGGGTTATAAAATAGACCTACCAAAAATTAGACCACAAAAAGTACAGATTAGGAGAAATCATTACCAGATTCTTAATGATCTTCAAAACCTACTAGGAGAGATTTCTCAACTACAGACAATTATTGGAGTAGAAGGACATGATTTAAAACATCTAAAAATGGCCTTAAAGGCGGACAAGGACTTAAATAGTCCATGAATATTATCATCTGAAGCTGAAAAGAATTAGAATAGGTAGAAAAGAGAATACTAGAAGCACATGTCGACCGTGAAACTGGTTTGGGACTATATTGCTCTAGACAACTCCAGATTACCTAACTGAGATGGTGCACCTTCCTATTACACTCTGGCCAGAGCCTCAGACAAGAGCTTCAATTAAGAACTTCAATCAAGCCTCTCCCACCAAACAGAGACTGGGTACAACTGTTGTAGATAGTCCATTCAAGATGTTCACTAATCTAATATTTTCTTCCTACAGGATTCATGAGTTTATCATTGTCTCATTTCAATAGGAAGTAATTCTGAGAATACTACACCCCTTTCCCTACTATTTTTTTGTTTTTTTCAAGACAAGGTTTCTCTGTATTGTTTTGGAGCCAGTCCTGGAACTTGCTCGGTAGACCAGGCTGGTCTCGAACTCACAGAGATCTGCCTACCTCTGTCTCCCGAGTGCTGGGATTAAGGGCGTGCGCCACCACCGCCCGGCCCCCTTTCCCTACTATTGACATTAGAGGATAATTTACACCTGTTTAGAGTTAATTTTCATTTGTTTAAGGTTGGGATTGGAAGGAGGTGTTCAGACTTGAGCATCTCTCTGATAAGTTTAGGGTTCAGATGGAATAGATATGTTTATGATGGGATATAGGTAGATTATTGTAGCTTCTGGTGATTTATAATTTGTTTATTGCAATTTGTCATACTGTGTAAAGTCTTATTTCTATTCATGATGTTGATACATAACTATCCTTATCATCCTCTATGTATATATGCTTTATATATGTTTGAGGCATTTTGTATATTGACACAATTTAGTTTTGTTTCAAGTTTAAATCTTTTCTCTAGACCTAAAGGGAAGTTGTGGGGAGAGATCCTGGTACCCATACCACTAACCATGCCCATCTTGAGAATGGCTACAGGTGCATATGGGGTGTGGATAAAAGAATAAGGAGAGAGTTGCTCTCTCTATTTTCAGGGTTCCAGTCTAGTCTTAGAAAGCTGCTGAGACTAGCCTGTGTTGCTAGTTTCTCTTGTAAGTACTTTCCTACAATAAATAGTCAGCTATATCCTTATCAAGTGTACGTTATATTTCCTTATCAAACCAAAAGGCAGAGAGAATATGAAAATTAACAAAATAAGAAGTGAAAAAGGGGACATAATAACAGACACTGAGGAAATCCAGACAATCATCAGGTCATGGTTTGAAAACCCATATTCCACAAAATTGGAAAAGTTAAGGGAAATGGACATTTTCTGGATAGGTACCACACACTAAAATTAAATCAAGAATAGATACACAATTTAAATAGACCTGTAACACCAAAGGAAATAGAAGTAGTCATCAAAAGTCTACCAACCAAAAAAAGCCCAGGGCCAGATGGTTTCAGTGCTGAATTCTACCAGAAATTCAAAGAAAAATTAGTAACGGTAATCCTCAATAGAAACAAAAGAGTCATTGCCAATCTTTTTATGATGTTATAATTACCTTGATACCCAAACTACACAAAGACCTGACTAAGAAACTCGCCTTCCTTCAGCTACTGGATGAAGGCACTATGATGGAATTTAAGGCAGTCATCGATCTCATTATAAGGGAAGGGCATTTAAGGAAGCCTCTCCACTATTGCTTAGATTGTTAGTTGGAGTCATCCTTGTGGATTCCTGGGAATTTCCCTAGTGCTAGGTTTCTCATTAGCCTGTAACAGCTCCCTCTATCTAGGTATCTCTTTCGTTGCTCTCCTTCTCTTTTCTCCCCCTAACTCGCCCTTCCTGATCCCTCATGCTTTCCTCCCCTTCCCCTTCTCCCCTCCTCTTTCTCCTACTTCTTTCTTCCCCCTGCTACCAATTTACAGAAGATTTTTGACCTCTTCCCCTTCTCAGGGGGGTCCATGTATGTCTCTCTTAATGTCCTCTTTGTTTTCTAGCTTCTCTGGTGTTGAAGAGGCCAAGAAAATGCCGGTGAAACACTGATCTGAGCAAGTAGAAGTTCACAGATCCCAGACTGACAGCTGGGCAACCAGCAGAAGATCAAACCAGGCCTCCTGAATGTAGGTGTCAATGGGGAGGCTTGGACAGTCTATGGGGCCTCTGGCAGTGGAGCCAGTATTTATTCCTAGTCACAAATGGGCTTTGGGAGCTCATTCCCTATGTAGGAATTCTCTCTTAGACCAGATACAAGGGGAGGGAGTCCTAGGTCCTGCAACAAATGATGTGACAGACTTTTATGATTCCTCCCCATGGGAGGCCTCACCCTCCTGGAGGAGTGGATGAGGGATGTAGTGGGATAGAGGCAATGGGAGAATGGGAGGAAGTAGGAACTGGGATTGGTATGTAAAATAAGATGGTTTTTAATTTAAATAAATTAATTTAAAAAAGAAAATTAATTCCTAAAATGTGATGACAAAAAATTAAATGGCAAATATGTAGTGGGAAGGATATAGAAGTACTTCAAAGAAGGGATTTTTAAATATTTAAATGTAATAAAGCATTGTTTTCATTATTTTAAATTAATCCATAAAGAAGGATAAAAGCAATTTAAAAAACTTCTGGCAAACTGAATCCAAGAACATATTCAGAAAAATCATCCACCATGATCAAATAGGCTTCATACCAGACATGCAGGTATGGTTCAACATATGAAAATCCATCAATGTAATCCACCATATAAACAAACTGCAAAAATAAACCCACATGATCATCTTGTTAGATTCAGAAAAAGCTTTCAGTGAAACTCAACATCCCTTGATGATAAAGGTCTTGGAGAGATCAGGGATACAAGGAACATACCTTAACACTATAAAGGAAATATACAGCAAGTCAACAGCCAATATAAAACTAAATGGAGAGAAACTCAATGCAAGACCTCTAAAATCAGGAACAAGACAAGGCTGTCTACTCTCTCCCCATGTCTATTCAATATCATACTTGAAGTTGTATCTAGAGCAATAAAACAACAAATGGAAATCAAGGGGATACAAATTGAAAAGTTAGAAGTCAAACTTTCACTATTTGCAGATGACATGATAGTTTACATAAGTGACCCGAAAAATTCTACCAGGGAACTCATATAGCTGTTAAACTCCTTTAGTAAAGTGGCAGGATACAAGATTAACTCATAAAAATCGGTAGCCCTTACACACACACACACACACACACACACACACACACACACACACACAGACTGAGAAAGAAATCAGAGAAATATCACCCTTCAGCATAGACACAAACAACACAAAATATCTTGGAGTAACTCTAACCAAACAAGTGAAAGACCTTTACGGCAAGAACTTTAAGTTTTAGGAAGAAATTAAAGAAGATAACAGCAAATGGAAAGATCTCTCATGCTCTCAGATAGGTAGGATCGACATAGTAAAAAATGACAATCTGCAAGAAACTGCCCTTGCCTGGACTACTTGACAGTATGTTGTATAAAATGCAGATGCAGAATACACAGATAAAGTGACTGCTGGACTTTGCCAAAACAAGGAATGACAGTCCTTCAATTTTCCCGCTTCACTGAAAATTCTGTCAGATACTCTAGGCCTATAGGCTGAAGACGGATGTCCCAACATTGCAGAGAACTTTGGGTGGCTGTCCTGACAGTCAGCTGTCTCTGTCATTTCAAGAGTTGTGAAACTTGTTTACAATGTACTTCCTGTTAACTGTGGTAATATTATATCCTTCTAGGGTCTTGACTGGAGTTCAAGACTAGATAGTTATAGTTGCAGTTTTCTTTAATTGTGTTAGAAAGTAAACGATGTATAAAATTTGGAGTCACTAAGATAATTGAGTATTTTCCCCGAATTTACTAAATATAAATGGTCTGAATATTGTAAATGTAATTCTTATGTAATAATTGTTTTTGTTGTATGTAGTTTTAGTATGTTAAAGTTAAAACCTTTCATTTTTATATAGATAAAAGGGAGAAATGTGGAATATTATTTTAAGATGTGTTACATTTGTTTATGCTGTGGAACATTTGCTTACAGATACAAAGATGTGTTGCATTATTTTATGTGCTATTTGTTTAACTCCGTGAAGCTGTGTTTCTGTGCCTGTCTAAAACACCTGATTAGTCTAATAAAGAGCTGAATGGCCAATAACAAGGTAGGATAAAGGATAGATGGGGGTATTGAGAAAATGAGAGGACACTAGAACACAGCTACCCAGCTACACAGCAGCATGGAGTAAGAAGTAAAGACAGATATACAGAACAGAGAAAGATGAAAGCCCTGAGGTGAAAGGTGGATGAGATAACTTAACCAAGGCTGGCTAGAAATAAACAAAGCTAAGTCTAGGCATGAAAATGAAAGAATAACACTCCATTTCATTTATTTAGGAGCTTAGTGTTGGGACGCAAAGACCAAATATCCAGAGTAAAAGACAAAAAACCCAACAACAACTACAAACCTGGTCTACTAGTGACTTCTTGGACACCAGAGAACACAAAGACACTCTGTCACCAAAAACCAAAAAGAATAAAATAAGAAAGAAAGAAAGAAACAAAGAAAATGCTCAGAAGCTGTCGCTGCAGGCAATCCTTCAGCTGAGGCTCCCCCTCCCCAGTGTGTGAAGCTGACAATCAACCACTACAGGGGCTGGAGAGATGGATCAGCACTTAAGAACACTTTCTGCTATTGCTGAGAACTGGAGTTCAATTCTAAGAAACCACATGGGGTTCCAAATAACTGTTATGAGCATTCTTTCCCACCAGCCTGGTATGGCATCTGCATTGCCTCAAATGAACACGTACATTAATTAGAATACTGTTAGCTGATGACTAGGGCTTCTTTTTTTTAACAGTATATCATTTTCATTTTTAATGTTTTGTTATTTTTGAGAATTTCACACATGAATATAATAAAATATTATCATATGTATCCACAATTTCTCTCCTCAGCCTTCTCCCATGTCCTACCTCCAACCCATTTCACTATCAGATTGATGTTTTTGTTTTTATTAATAGTCTAGTTAGCACTGCAAATATGATCCTGGGCTGCAGGGCCATCCACAGGAGCATGGGACGCCTACAGTGGTCACTTCCTCAAAACGGAGTGATTGTCCCTTCCTCAGCAGCTATCAACTGCCAATCACTTCTCAGTAAGGGGTGGCCCCTGGAGGTCTTCTACTCTCCTCTGACAGGGTTTTGGTTATGTTAGTTTGTGCTACTGTTTTGCAGGTAACTACAGTTACTGTGAGTTCATGAGCGTGATAGCCACATCATGTGCAGAAGACCACATTGCACACCATTGACTAGGGCTTCTTATTGGCTGGCTGTGTCTTAATTATTAACCCATTTCTATTAATCTAAGTATTCCTACATGGTCTTCTCTTACCTGAGAATACCTCACTCACCTCATCTCATCCCAGGACCACATGGCAACTCGTATGCTCTCTACACTTCCCAGAATCCTCCTTGTCTCCTAGTCCCACCTATCATTCTGCTTCATTGACTGAGCAGAACTTTATTCATTAACCAATAAGAGAAACATATTTACAGAATGACGACTCCCATCAAACAATGTCTGCTGGCCCAATGCCCTCTTGCCTCTAAGTTAACAAACTCTCATGTACCCTCCCCCTTAGCACCCAACACCTCCTTCCCCCAATTCTACCCTCTTCCCTGGATAAAGACCATGTAGGGGATGAGTTGAGTTGGTTGTCTCCATGTTCAAGCTCCCTCTACCCTTCCATCAGGACTCTGGACAGCCACAACCAGCTACTGCCAGTCACTGGGCCTGTGCATTGGGCCTCTAGGTCCACCTGTGGCTCACAAGACCTAGAGAGGGACAAGACTAGAGCTTTGGGACAGGAGTGGGCACGGGGTGTGGGTGGAAAGGTGGAGGACTGGGCAGCTGTTCACTAAAGGAAAAGAGACTGAGACCCACGTAGCTTTAAACAAGACTATGAGACACCTTCTTCCTAAATCTGGTTGACCAGAGAACCAGGGATTAACCTGACTTCACCTGTGGGTTCCTGTGATAGAGAAAGGCAGAGAAGAGATTGTGTTCTGTTCTGTTTATTGCTTCTGAGTACTTTCTGGGAAATTATCCTGTGGTGTGTGTATAGACACATTGAAGACTGGAAAGCCACCTGGATGTAATCCTGCTTTCAAGTCATTTTTTTTGTCACTCCTGTTTGGTTTCCTGTATCTCATTTCCTATAATGAGCACACAGTAAATGCGATCTGAGCCCAGTATTTCTAGGACCAAGATGTTCCTTTGGTGCCCATGTGACACTATTTCTTTGTCTCTTCTCTCTCCTGTTACCTCTCTGTCTTGTGTTTCCTTCCCTCACCATCTCTTCCCAACTTTTCTGTCTCCATCCCTGCCTCTTATCTCCCCTCCCCCTCTGGTTCTGTCTGTCCCTATGACTCTATGTATCTCAGGCTGAGTTCTTCTTCTTTAGTTGAGCTTGTTTTTTGAGACCGGGTTTCCTTTTGTAATCGTCCTGGCTGGTTGGGACTCACTTTTTAGACCAGGTTGGCCTTGTACTCAAGAAATGTGCCTTCTTCTGTTGTCTCTGCATGCCTGAGTGGTGACATGAAAGGCACGGCTGGACTCAACACTTACTTTTCAAGTGCTCCCCCAATGGCAATGTATTTCCCATTAATCTTCATCTTCCGGGGTTGGAGTGAATGATGTTCTCTAAGGATCTAGTTGTGTTCTGTGGACAGAGAATGCAGTGACCAAAGCCCAGTTCTTTCAATAGATGCTTTATTAGAGAGCATAGTGTGTGATGAATACAACCAGGCAGGCAGGGGTGGTGTAGGCTGTAATAGAAGTGACAAGTCTAAGAGTGGATGACTTCATACTCTTTGTTGTACAGAGACTTAGGTCCTTTAATTACTCTGGGGAGGAATTTCCCCCATGATGACAGGGAATGACTGAATAAATTTGACATTGGGGCCTGTATATAGTTTTACATTTTAAAGTTAAAACCTTCCATTTTTATTTAGACAAAGGGGGGAAAAGTTGTAGAATATTATTTTAAGATGTGTTACACTTGTTTATGCCTTAGAATGTATGTTTAATGATGCAAAGATGTCTTCCATTCTTCTACGTTGCACATATTTAGCTCTGTAAAACTGTGCTGCTTTGGCTGACTGGTCTACTTAAAAGCTAAGTAGTCAATAGTGAGGCAGGAGAAAGGACAGGTGGGGCTGGCAGGCAGAGAGAATAAATAGGAGGAGAAATCTGGGAAGGGAAATAGAGGAGCAAAAGAAGGAGGACTCCAGGGGCCCAGCCACAGAGTAAGAAGGAAAGAAAAGGTATACAGACACAGAGAAAGGAAAAAACCCGAAGGCAAAAGATAGACAGGATAATTAAAGTTAAACAAAACTGGCTGTAAACAAGCCAAGATAAGCTAGGATTTCAAGAGTAATAATGAGAATCCATGTACTTATTGTGGAGATGGGTGGTGGGCCTTCAAAGAATAAAGAATAAACACAACAAGATTTCTGATGAGGAAGGAAGATGAGGAAGGCCTGGCCACTTGCACAAGGTGAACCACGTTAGGAGTGATGGAATTTGATTCTGGAACAAAGATCTACATCATTACAAAGCCTCTGTTTAAAAACATTGAAAGATTTTATGTAATTCTGGGGGAGGCATGCCTGTGGGAAGACACAGGTGTGGAGGTCTGAGGAGAAACTGCAGGAGTCTGTTCTCTCCTTCCACCATATGAGTCCTGGGAATGGAACTTGGGTACAAACGTGTCAGAAAGTGCCTTTATTCCCTGAGCCATCTTGCCTGCCCAAAGCCTCTCCTATTGGCTGCTATGTCACACTGATTCCATGTTTACTAAACAAATGAAAGCTGCATCATTGTCTATAAGCCAAATACTGGACTAAACACCTGTGCAGAACAAGATTTATCATTCCCATTTTACAGGTGAGGGTTCAGAGGACTGCAAATATAGCTCAGTCGCTACAGAGCTTGTCTAGAATGCACAGAACTCTGTTTTCTACCTCCAGAACCTATACATTGAGTATGGTGGTGCACACCTGCAATCCTAGCACTTGGGAAGTAGAGGCAGGAGGGTTGTCTTAAATCATATAATTTTATGATATTTATAGTTTTCCTAGTTTTAGTATTAAATATACATATTTATTTTTATGTATAAGAATGAGTTGTCATCCCATGTAACCTTCAGTCACTCTCTACTGTATCTTTAGAGGCTAGGTCTCTCATTCAATAGGACACTCACATTTGGCTAGTCTGACTGACTTACAAGTGTTGGGTATCTGTGCTCTCTACTTCCAAATATAGATACAGATGATCCAAACCACATCTCACTTTTTTTTTGGTTTTTCGAGACAGGGTTTCTCTGTATTGTTTTGGAAGCTATCGATCCAGCCTGGCCTTGAACTCACAGAGATCTGCCTGCCTCTGCCTCCCGAGTGCTGGGATTAAAGGTGTGCGCCACCACCGCCCGGCCCACATCTGGCTTTTATTTATTCATTTAACTTTATTTTATGTATATTGGGCTGAATGTTTCAGCCTCCTGGAACTGGAGTTACAGGCAGTTGCAAGCTGCCATGTGGGGGCTGGGAATTGAACCTGGGTCCTCTGGAAGAGCAGCCAGTGCTTTTTAGCAGTGAACCAAACCTTCGGCCCTATCCCCTGATTTTTACATGGGTTTTGAACATCCTACATGAGGTCTTCATGCTTGTATGGCAACCACTTCAACAACTGTGACATCTCCTCAGCACCACAAAAAATATTTTTAAATTATTAGTATGTTCAAGTAATTTGGGCAACCCAATGTACTTAAGTTTGCTTTGTCTTCCAACCCTAAATCTGCAATGGAGGGAGGGTCACCAGTTTCTTCTGGTTAGGAATGGTCAGGAATAGAGACATGGGCTCCACTCACCTTCCTTTCTTGCTTTTCTGCAGACAAAAACAATGCCTGTGAGGACTTCATCTGTAACTGTGACTGCCAAACTGCCATCTGCTTCCCCAAGGTTCTATCAACAAGCACTGCAAGGGTTTAACTATCAGACTTTCTCACATCTGTTAATACCTACACCATCCCTCCTTGCTTCATTATACACTGAGTCCTCTAGTAAACCACCTATTAAAAGAACTGGGCTTTGGTGGCTGTATTCTCTGTTTATCAAACATAAATAGATCCTCAGAGAATATCATTCATTCAGTCCAGGAAGCCGAGGATTAGTGGGAAAGACATTGCCATTAGGGGAGCTCCTTGATGAGTGGGTGATGAGCCCAGGTATGTCTTTCATCCCAGAACTCTGGGGTGGAGAGGCAGAGGCAGAGCCAGGAAGATCACTTGAGTTCAAAGCAAACATGGTCTCAAAATACAGGTCTAGGACAGCCGGGACTGTTACACAAAGAAACCCTACTTCTAAATCCTCTCCACATCAAAAGAAGGTGGGGCATTGGAGGCACATACTTTTACCAAGCACTTGGGAGCCAGAGAAAGGTTGATCTTTGTTAGCTCAAACCAGCCTCATCTACAGAGCAAGTTCTAGGACAGGCTCCAAAGCTACAGAGAAACCCTATCTTGAAAAATCAAAAGAAGAGGAGGGGGAGGGGAGCCAATACGAATTACATAGGGAGGCTTGGGGGACTGAGAGGAAAAGGGGAGGGGAGAGATGAGGCAGATTAAAGGACAGCAAAGGAGGGGACAGGAGAGGAGGGATGGCAAGGAAAGGGAAAACAAAGAGGTAGGAGGGGAGAGAAGAGAGAAAGAGGCAGCATCACATGGACACTAAAAGAACATCTTGGCCCTAGAAACACCTGACTCAAAGAGCTTCTGTTGTGTGCTCATTATAGGAAGTGGGGTACAGAAAGTCAAACTGGAATGATAGTAAATTACCTG